CTATTTGTGCTTGATGCATATGCAAACCATGATATCACAGGTAGGATTTATTAAACTAAGAACCTGCCAAATACTATATATATATATATATAAGGTCATCCCATAAGTTCTGTCCGACTTTTGAATAAAGAAAACAAGTGACCAAATGTTACATTTAATTACAGATTCAATCAACAATGTATTTTCCCTGATTATCTATGAATTCCTTCCATCTATTAACAAGCTTGCTAATTCCATTACTGTAAAATTCTTTTGGCTTTGATTCGAAGAACTCACAAATGTCAGTTTTAACCTCTTCCTGTGTTACAAAAGCTGTTTCTTCCAAATGATTCTGTAAACTACGAAACAAATGGTAGTCTGAAGGAGCAAGATCGGGAGAATAAGGTGGATGAGGAATTTTCTCCCAACCAAGTTCTTCGATCTTTTGTGACATAATTCTTGCTGTGTGTGGTTGCGCATTGTCCTGATGAAACATCACCTCTTTTCAATTCACTAGAGCAGGTCTTTTTTTCCTCAAAGCTTGGTTCAAACACTCTAATTGCTGACAGTATATTTGAGCATTAATTGTTGCATTAGGTGGTAAGAATTCAAAGTGGATTATTCCTTGGCAATACCACCAGATTGAAAGAAGACCCTTTTGCCCATGAAGTTCCCTTCTCGGCTGTGGCTGGGGTCCTTCCCCTTTACCAAGCCACTGTCTACGATGCTTAACATTTCGATAAAAAACCATTTTTCATCACCAGTCACAAGTCTATCCAAAAAAGGTGAAACAAGTTGACGAGAATGGAGAGAAGAGCAGATGTCAACCCAGGATTTGAGGTTGTTTTCAGACAATTCATGAGGCACCCATTTTCCAAGTTTAAGAACTTTTCCAAGTTGTTGAAGATGACGATGAACAGTTGTATGGTTTGAACTGAGAACCACTGGCAATTCCTCAACTGATAAAGCAGGATTTTCTTCAAGGGCTGCTTCAAGAAGCTTTTCATCAAACTCAACTGGACGTCCGGTTCGATCTTCATCTTCAAGGGTGAAATCTCCACCTCTGAATTTTGCAAACCATCTTCTGCAAGTTCTTTCATTCACACATTCCTCTCCATAAACTGAGTGAATGTTTCTAGCCGCTTCGGCTGCTGAGTTTCCTTTCTTGAACTCATAAAGCATTATGTGTCTCAAATGATTCTTGGGTACTTCCATGTTAGCAGGGTTTCAATCAAACAAAATTTAATTTTATTGTTCTCTGAAATAAAATTTGATAAGTTTAAATGCATCTAATCATAAAAATAATGTTCAGCTCCATTAGACATTATACAATACTCTTTAAATTTTGTTCATTTTAACAAAAAGTTAAAATTTGGACAGAACTTATGGGATGACCTGATATATATATATATGAAATGAGCAGATACCAAAATATAATCTATTTAGTGTGTGTACATACATATATATATATATATATATATATATATATATTTTCTTCACTGGTAGCGCAATGCAATCTTCAGGTCTGAAGATTGTTGTGCTACTGCTAAGGAAAAAAATGTATATTTATTATTATATTAGGAATAAATACAAATTGTAACAGTGTGGCTAATACATACATACATACATACATACATATATATATATATATATATATATATATATATATACTTGTCTAATTTGCCATGCCAAATAAGTTAACTCCATTCTTGCTGCTTTTAGCAATAATTAAAATATTTTGTGCCATAATTGTTGTACTATCTAAACTAACTTATATGCAAGATATCAGATTTTTTTTTTTTTTACCTAAAGATATCGATTAATTCATGGATGGAAGACGGCTATTTAGAAAGTTGACTGAGAAGAATCAAAGTTTTGATATTTCTTTATCCTATATTATTAAATGCATTAGAAATATATACTTTCCTCTTAAATCAATATAAGGATGCATTCATTTAATTCTTGACATCCCAGAACTTTTGTAATGATCTGAAAATAAACTTTTCCCCATATGCTAAGTTATCAATTAATTCTGATTCATTTTCTTATTAAATTGAGAGAGACAAAGACAAATTTTATTGAATCAATAAAATGTTTTCAACTCTAAATGCCACAAGACAAGATAGTTTAGAAAGGAGTTTGGAATTGAAGTGAAGTACGATGTAGTTGCAACAATTGTGGCTGTCAGTTTCCATGTCACTCGTATTAACAATTCTGTCTTGTTGTAAAGACCAAAGTTGAAAATTTATTTTTCCTGGAATTTCCTTGTTGATTTGGTCTGAGCTTGTTTTGTTGTTTAGTAACTTGTTTCTGGCATTTAACAAGTTACTCTTTTTTCTTTTTTGATTCTGAAAATGTGTTTTTCATGCTTTCATCTTCCTTCCTTTATTTTGATTTATTTTGAACACTCCTCCAGACTCTCAAGGCCATACAGTACATCTTGACATTTACTTCCCTTTTTTCCTTTCCAATCCACTCTCTCTAAAATTATCAACTTACTTTGAATCAGTACTCTCTTCTCATCTTATATATATATATATATATATATATATATATGACAATAGGAAAACTGTAATAGTTCCTGACACATTTCATCCAATGTGGACTTTCTCAAGGCAAAAAACGAAATGAATTTATTAAACAAAGTAACTAATAATAACAAAAACAAAATGTCCTTAGCAACTGGAAGAATTTAGAGAATGCTATTTTCATACTGTTAACTGAAAATTACGTCAATTACTATCACGTGTGGAGATATTGTTATTATTGCTGTGTTGACGGATTCAACCATTTTCTTTTGATTTCACTGCTCTCCCAAACAAACATACACAACAATATCATGAAATTGATCAAATGATTCTATTTGAATGTCCATTTTCATAATAGTCTTTAATAACTTTAACATGTTGCTTGATTGTTAATCTTTCCATGGTTGAAATTGCTACAGGCTTAAGTTATTAAATCTGAAAGAAAAAGAAAAAAATCTCTAGATGCTTAAACTTAATTCACATTTAAAATTGGTCCTAGTTATTGGAACACCCTTTATATAGTTTTGTTGAATATGGCAGAAAAGGAAAATTTGATTAATTTCTTTTTTATTTAGTTTTTCTAACATTTTGAACTCCCTTACCCCCACCAGATGAAAAAATGTATGAATGTTGGAAAAACTAAATAAAAAATTATCAAATTTTCCATTTGTCATAGCCAATTTTCAGTCAGCTCCCTTATATTGGGATGTTGGTTTTTCAATAAATTCCATAGCTACAACAGATAAATTTAAAATTTTTAAATAATTATAACAGAGCGCATTCACGTGTGCTTCTAAAAATCACCATCACAACAAAATGCAGATTTTATCACAGTTACAATAAGTTTGTCTTTCTAATTCACCCTTGAGGATGATCTTGGAGGAGATCAAAAGTACTTGGGTAGGAAAAAACTATGGTACATACCTTGATGAATTTCATCTTAACATCAAGAAAGGGATTAGTGAACTAGAAAGGATTATTTTAAAAATAAATAGACATAATATGTCTATATTATTCTATATATATATATATATATTGGTCAGTCTGAAAATTTTCCAGTACCCTTTAATCTTTTTCTTTTCTTTTTTTATACTTGTTGCTTTTCATTCTGTCCCTCTCTCAATATCACTCTGTTCTTACTTCAACACAATTACCTTAATTCTCTTTTCTTCTTTTACCTTAATTCTGCTACATCCCTGCAAATTTTTAGACCTTTTGCTGCTTGCATTTTTTCCTTTTGGCCATCCTTTTTCTTCAAGACAACAAAATGAAATTAACTTTTTTTTTGTAAGTGGTTGGAGAAATAAACATCCTAGAAACAGGACCACAGAATGTTTTTTTTTTTAAATCATATTAAAAAGAAACTGCTAAATTCTTTATTCAATTTTGATTGAATTTTAAATTAATGATCCATAATGTCTATGGAGAATATTCTTAAAAATTTTATTTCTGCATTTAATCGAAAACAACTTGTTTCAAAATATCCCATTTCATGATGGAAATTATCTTAATACATTTTTATGTATTTAAACATTCAAACAAAAAGTAAATAAATCAATAGTCTGCGATTTGAGCCAAATTTTCTTTTAGAATGTCATTTTCAAAACTTGTGCTGTGTGACAACCATAATTAATTAAAACTGCATAAAATTGATGTTTTCATATTTCTCCTTCTTTTTTTTTTTTTTTTTTTTTTGTGTGTGTGTTAGTTTGGCTTTGTCAATTTTGCAAGAAATTTATTCTATTCTTTCTACTTTTCAAATGATAAATTTCCATACAATGTTTTTATGGGCCTTTTAGTTAAAATAGTATTTACCACCAGGGGTCAGCATTTGTGTTCGTGGGGGGGGGGCATCTTGAATACTGCTGATTTTCTAGGCAGGCATGTATTCCTCATTTAGATGACAGGCTTCAAAATAGCATTGCACCAATCTCATGAATTTTGTAAATGTCTGTACAAGTTCTCACTTGGAGAATTAAGCAATCTCTGATTTAATCAAACCATTGTTTTTTTTAAGTCATTTTTAATAAAGTATAATTTGATCCTCCTACTAAAAATAACAAATTATCCAAGAGAGATAATTCCAGATCTCTTAACTGTTAATTACAAGTTATTTCCTGACTTGTTTACTGCATTCCTCTCTAATTACATTACTACTGATGATACTTTATTGTTTAAGTTTCGTCTTCTTTTATGTGCCATATCTCTTTTGCAAATATAAATTCAGGAAATAACAAGTGACCAAGCAGAAGCAAATGAAAAAATATAGATAAAAAAATGACTGTTTTTTTTTTTTTGTAGTTTTCAGAAAATCTTCAAGTTCTTTAAGAAACTTAATATTAAAGTGAATTTATTTCAAGATATTATGTACAGACTTATGAAAGAACTTTTAAAGCTCTCCATAGAAAAATATAGTTACACTTTAAACTGATTTTATATTTTTTTGTAATGGTTTTAATTGCAACTGAACCTTTCCTGTTTTTGTGCATTTAGGCTGGACCTACTATTGAGATCACACAGACATCCGATGATAAAGAAGCAGAAGAAGATGAAGATGACAGACAAGGCCAATGGCTGAGACGTCGGAGACTGGATGGAGCCCTCAACAGAGTTCCAGTTGGGTTTTACACTAAACTTTGGCAGACTTTACGAAGAGTAAGTTACAATAAAATTTCTTATCTATAAAAATATTTAGTAATTTGTTTTGACTAATTGTCATTATTAGAGAAACTTATTGCAATGTTATAAAATTTGTATTTTTATTGGCATTTTAAGATAAATTCACCTGTAGATTCAAGTTTTGACCATTAGAGATTATTAGAATCATTTTATATTGGTATTTATTAAGCTAAAAATGACCTTCCTAACTTGGTACATTTTATTCACACACACACACACACATATCGTCATTTAGCTTGACGTGCCTTATATATATATATTACTGATTAATAATTAGGGGATTTGTATAATTTTCATAAATCTTCATCATGCCTAGACCTAGAATTCTCAATGCACACACATGCAGAAAAGGATGAGGAGCCATGCTATATTATGTCTAGTAAATTAGTTTCCTCTTTGCCACTATGGCCTTCAGTTCATCTTTGGTGTTAAAGCAGTTTTGTTGGTCTCTCTCTCAACTGCACCCCATATATAATAATCTAGGAGGCTTCAGTCTGGAGAGTTAGGTGGCCAGATGTAAAGGGTGATGTGGTTGCAGTAATTTTCTGACAGCCGTGACTTGGTTCTCCTGATTTTGTTGCATGGTGCAGATTCCTGTTTCCAGACATAGGGTCTTCCAGCAACTATCTTCTTGACCCAGGGCAGCATTATCTCCCAAGGCACTTGATGTATGCCTCCTGTAGGAAGATGGATGGAGGCATAACATCGCTATCACTGGTGATCACTCCAAACGCTACTTTTGATTGGATATATCATCCAACTCTTTCTGAATCCTTTGCACTGACCTCAGATTGACATCCACACACTCTGAAATGATTGCATTGTGGCTTCTGTCATGAATGCCAAGCAGTACAGCATGCTGTTTCCAAATTTCTGGCAGAGGGAATTGTGTTATGGTGCCCAATTGACCCTACTATGTGGTGCAGTCAACAAATAAAAAAAACAAACAAAACACATATGCAAAATTAAAATCATAGAATGGTGACAATTTACTCATGGCACATATATATATATATATATATATATATATATATATATAGGTTATAAGCAACTTGCACTCAAATTTGATTAAATCTTAAGCAACTCCACTACTGATGTCATCATGGCTTAAGCAACTAAAAAAAAGTTGCTAATTCAGACAGAAAAGAATAACAAAATATGTTACTTTATATTGTATTCAAGAATTTTAGTAGCTTAATTACAATGAAGTAGCTTAATTACAATGAAGTAGCTTTCTTTTTTATTTATTAGACCTAACTATAAAAAAAAAAAAAAAAAATTAATCCACTTCAGTTCTAATTCTGGTGCACAAACTCTGCAACCTGAATACTGGTTAAAATCCTGCAGTTGCTTCTAAAGTAAAGATTGTGTATTTACTAAGCTTTGTTTGGCACAAAGTCAAGTGAGAGTGTAATAATTCAGGGTCCCTTCTCAGTTCTTAATTGTCAACTGTCGACTCTCTGAATGGCTTTTGCGCATTCATTTTTGTGGACTCCAACTAGGATCCAGTGTGGGGCAATATCTAGGTTGGGTTTCAGTGAGTACCCTGATTTCTAACAAAAGTCCAATGGTTTTTGGTCCTGAGAAATTAAATTACTTCATAATTTTGGGGAATTCCCCTTCTCTCATGGGAGATGACTGCAGGCAAGGGTGATGGCCTGCTTACTTCTACTTTCTCCTATTACCATCTCTCACCAGTGCTTTCCAGTGGGTGTGGGCAGCTCCTTCAACCTCCTTAATGTCTTGTCTGTGCCTGCTACCTTTCAGTGGGTGCAGGCAGCCCCTCAGCCTTCCTTGATTGCTTTGTTACCTCCAGCATTCAGTCAAAGGTTAATTAAAAAAAATTATGGTTTCAAATGCCATTATCTTATAAGTGAATTGACACAATTAGCTTTTCTTGCTTTTGACCCAAGAGACACTTTCCCAGGGAAATTTTTGTAACTCCTATTATGGTGACAATTCATTCAGTCAAAGGTTATCATTCTGCAGGTGTTTAATTTATTGTTTCCCATTCTGACATCAGGCAAAATGAATTCATTTAGTTTAACCCAATTCTTCTCATGTCAGATCCAGACTTTGTTTGTCAACACTTGACCTGCTCGCACAAACTGAGCATTGCTTTTAGCCAGTCATTTGGTCTATTATATAAATCTTGAATCTCTGGGAACCATTTATTATTGGTCTATCATTCTTTATATTTTTTTAACCCGTTTCAAGCTAAGTTATTCATCATTATCTCGTTTTCGCTGATATTCCCGAGTCGTCATCATCATTATTATTATTATTACCAGCAACCCAAATAGTGTTATAAGAGGAGCTAAGGATAAGAAGAGCTGAACTTCAATCTTTTAAATGAAGAAAGTTTTCATGTCTTGAGAGTCCTGGTTTTTACTTGGGTTCTGCTATGGATGACAGATACTTTCTCAACCATGAGGTTGTATTGTATGATTAAAGTCATTCTAATGTTAATGGTCAAAGTTGCTTGCTTATTATTGCTTCATGGCAAGGCCCTCAACACCTTCATTTTTTTTCAGTAATAAGGGAAAATATTCTACTTGTTTGTATGTACAATTCTTATACTTTCTGATCTTGATATTCTGCTGAGATTTGAACCTCTAACCTGAAGATATGCAAGTGAATTACATATCCATTAGATCAGTGTTTTACTGCTTTGAATATAAGATTTAATTAACTTGGAAATACTAAATTACAAACTGATTTTTTTTAATGTTTGTAATTATTTGAATGTGTTTGTTTTTCTTTTCAAATAAAGTTATGTTAAACTCATTCAAAACAACAAAGATTAAATTTAACATTTTCTTTGAATTATTATTTCATGTTGATAAGTACCTATGTGCACTTTGATAAGGCATGAAATAGATTCATTTTATCACCATCTGTGTGCTAAAAATGTAAAAATGACTGAAGAAAATTTGGGTGTGAAAAGTTTTGTCCAATATATAGAAGTAGAGATTTTTACCTGGAAAGTAACAAGACAAACATTTCTTTTATCACTGTTTCTTCAATTATTTCTGAACCATTTTTACTCAATAAAAAAATAAATACATTTTAAAGATGGCATTTTTTTTTTCTATGAATTTAATATTTCAATAATAATGAAATTAGTGTTTGAAAAATAATCTGTTTTGGTGGTTTAAACTTTCAAGCAACAACTATCTTTTTAAAATGTAATAAAAATTTGGTCTTTGTTTTGACATCAATGTTAAAAAATGGAAAATAAAAATAAATATGAACATCAAATTCATAGAAACCCTAAGAAAAATTCTTTTATGTCATGAAACTTAGAAATAGTTATGTCATTTTTCTAAAAGCCATCAAATTTTGAATGATCCATCTGAGACGGCTCAGCATGGTACAAGACCATAGTAGTTGACCACCTGATGAGGATCAAACTTGGTCTACTGAACATGGTTGATCAGAATTAAAATCTATTTCATGATTCAATCCCAATAAAGACAAAATGGTTTCACTTGTATTTGAACTGAAGTTATTTTCGTCTAAATACATTAAAAGTGAATGAAAATCAAATCCAAATATGAAACTTCCTCCCCAAAATGCAGACATCAAAATATTTATTTTATAAATTCTTGCGTTCTTACTTAAGATGAGAAATAAAATGAATATGTCAATTAGTGTAATCAGAAACCCCCACCCTCTTTATTCTCTTGAATTATCCACATGTCTGGATATCCAGCTATGTGGATAATTGACACTTCAGTCTAAAAGCAGTACTTGACAATTTCAAAATGGTTGTTAAAGTTAATCAATGCTATTTTTAGTCACAATAATTGGGTGGGGATTTGTAACTGAAAGCCAACACTTGGATACATTTCACTTTTTTGAGTGCATTTTTTTAAATAAAAAGAATATGTTCCATTTGTACACAACATTTTCATCCATTTGATTGCATTATGTGACAAATGTAATACTGTTATTTTATTGTGCCAGTATTTCACATGAATAATTATTTTATTATCAATTTATTTCTGCTAAGCTATTTTTGAACAAGCTTTTTTGTTTTTGATAAATCATCAGTATTTACCTCAAAATTACTTTGAATTCTGTGGATTCATTTCAAATTTTCACAAAAAGTACAGAAATGAAAATCTTCATTTTTGTTGATTGTCATACGAAATTGAGAGATTGTTTTAAATGCAAGCTAAAAGAATTATCATTTCTGGATTGATGTCATTCAATTATAAAATTGTGGCTGGAGTAACAATTTTTATCTCCTCATTTTTCCAGTTATTTATTTTAATTATATTTAAATATTTCTTCTTCTTTTTTTACAGTTGGAAGGTATTTCTATCTGTGGTCAAACACTTACTAAATCTTTGACCAGAGAGGTGAGTCTGTTCTTCAATATTTTGCAACATCTTTATATATTTTAATTGTACAAATTCTCTTGTAACTGACGTTTATTAGATTAGCAAAATTGTATTTTTTATAATTGAACATATTTTGACCAAACTTAATGCTCTCTGCAAGTTTGTATGGCCTTTCAGTACCCAAGTAGAGTAGTATTTTAAGTCTAATGTTCTCATCCAGATGGTGATGCTTGTTAACAACATAAACTATTCTTTTAACCTGTCACTATAGTAAAATTCATATCTATATAAATAATTTTTATGAATAGTTTAAAAGAACAGATAGATGCCTTGATGACAGGTGAGGCATGTTATCACAAAGGAAGATTTCAAAACAAATTATGTTGTTTTTTTATAGCAACTGATTTGGTTTTATAGATTCCACATTATCCACTTAAAATCAATCTTTAAAAAATTTTTTAGAAGAAAAAGAAAATAAAAATTAAAAAAAAAAAAAATCTTTTCAGATGACTTCTGGTGAATTCAAATTTGCCCTACAAGTAGAAAGAGTGTTGAACTTGATTCCCCAGCCTGAATATCGCCAATTGATGGTGGAAGGGATGATGGTCATCACTATGTTGGTTGAAGTGGACACTTATGCTAAACTTGACCTCAATCAAATTATCCAAATTGACAAACTGGTCCATGAAGCAAATGCTCTCTACCTTAAAGACCAGGTAAGGTTTTTTTTTTTTTTTTTTGTATTTTTTTTTTTAAACTCGATTGTATTTCCAAAAAATGGCAGTGTTTAATCTTTTCTATTCTATGTTGTGAGGGAGAGTATATATATTTTATTTTAGTTATTTGATAGAATTTTTTTTATGAAGTAGTGGTTATGGGGAAAAATCGGTTTAGGGCAGAAAATTGATTTTCTTATTTAAAACTATTAATATTTTAACATTTTATTATTGATTACAGAAATGTTGGTCAGTGTTATTTGCTTTTAAACCTTGATGATTAAATACAAAATTGAAATTTTTCTGTTTGCTTAGCCAAAACAGTAAAACCAATCATGTCAGATTTTACAAGTTAGCACAACCTACTGTCTAAGTACTGTACATTTCCATATATAAGGCGACCTTTAGATATGACAAGGTAAAACAAAAAAAAAAGAAAAAAAGTATAGCAAATTTTCATTAAATTATCCTATATCTGTAGCATAAAACAACTACTTATTGATTATATAAAGATATTATTGGAAATGTTGTTACTTACTGTGTCCTTACAAATTCAAAAGAAGCGAAATAACAAAAACTGATTCTATAAATTACCATTTATTTATAATTCATCGACAATCACAAAATACTGCTAATAACAGTATGATAATGTACGATAATAGTATTAAATGTTATTACTGCCATAATTAACACTATCATGATGATTATTGAAAGTTTAGCAAAAGATAAAGGTTGCTGTGAATGCAATCGTAACTTGATGTTTATATTTTCTCAACTAAGCTTGCATGGATACAATCTAATTTCATTGAATCTTTGGATAGGCAATTTATTATGAAGTTATGCCAGTAATATATAAGGTAGAAATGGTTTTATTACTTTTATTATCAGTTTATTTGATAATGTGAATCTTTTCATGTATTTTATTGGTTATCGCACTGAGGCTGACCTACCAACAAACATCACTCAGAATTTAAGGTTTCTTTTTTAGAATTGTAGTATAAAATGACCCCCAGTTTTTAAGGGTGAATTTTGGGATTTAAAAGCAGTCTTATACCCAGAAATATACAGTATTTCATTCAGAGGTGTCGCCAACTGAGAACAGTTCCTCACACCTGTGCTACTCTCAGGTTTGATGAATGGCCTGCAGTAATGTGTGTAGATGTGCCATTGGCAAATGACTCATTTGGCTTTCCCTTTTCTGAAGAGATGCTTACCAAGTTGCATTATAGCCTATATGTATAATTCCATCTAAGAGACATCACAATATAACATGACTGCTCTTTCCTATTAAGAAAACCCAGCCTATGAATTAGCAGTAAAAAAAAAAATTCATTATTTTCTATTTATCACATTCAACTTTATTTCCTAAAAGAACCAGAGAAATATTACAGATAAACAGATGTAATCTTTCATTCACATCCTCAAATGCTCATTCTTGTTGAGCTGTTATTGGCCACAGTTGTTGAATAGAAATGCCAAAGGTCTTACATTTTATCAACTTGTTTGTTTTAATTAGTATAAACAGGTATGTGAAGATTACGCAAAAGTTTTAATTTTTAATCAAGAGTGTTAAATGATATTGACCATTTAGTTTTTGTGGCTGAAGTCATGTGACATTTAAATCCCCCCCTCTTCTCCAAAAAGGCAAATCATTTTGTTTGGTACAAGGCTTAAAAATAAAAAGAATTCTGAAGGAGTTATAAAGATTTTCATGCAAACTGATTGCCTAATTGATTAGATATTTGGATTGTGTAAGAATGTGTCCAGTAATCTTTCTTTTTTCTACTGACAATCATTTCAATATTTTTCTTTTCAGAAAATTCCTGAAGACATAAAGAATCAGAGCATGGGAGCAGCTGGAATCTGTCAGCACTTTTATGATAGCGCCCCCAGTGGCCGATATGGCACCCTCCCTTATATGTGCCGAGCCCTGGCGTACATCCTTAAATTACCAGCTGATGCTGATAATGGGCTGGAGTGTGCAATCAGCTGAATTGATATCTTTGCTTTTCAGAGTCAAATTGAAAATTGTTTTACTGATTCCCTATTTAATCTTTCATTACAGATAATCTCTCCCCACACGCCCACAAAAAGGAAACACCCTTGTGTTATGTACACTTATATCTATGAGAATATATAGTATAGGCATGTAAAACTATTTTACTTAAGACAAATTCCAAATTTTCTATTTTTAAAACAGGTAAATTAACGATTTATTTGAACACGTACATAGACTCTAAAAGAAAACCTAAATATTTTGCTTCTGAATGAAAATGAAACTTCTGTATATAGTCTCTACCTCAGTTAAGAAATTATGTGGATAGTTTATCACAAATTCAAATCTCCCCATTTTCACAAGCCACTTACATTGCCATTTATGGAATGAATAAAATTAATTCATTTTCTTCCTTTTCTACTGGTGGATATAGACACACCTTCAGATGTATGCAGTTTGATTAACAATTTACAAATCCACCTGCTTTTTGCTTCTATCAACTGCCCAAGATAGGGAAGCTATGACACAAGGCCAATATTTACCAATTTCTTTTTGACAAAATATTTATTTCGATTTCAACATGTAATAAATGACCATGTTGATTATCACATGAGCATTGCTTGTTGCACATGTTAACTCTACGTATGGAACAGATTCAAACACTGAACACTCAGATTCATTTTAAATAACAAATGAATTGTTTCTAAAATAGACTTTCTCAGATTTGGTGTGATTCTTCGTGTAAAGCTAATGTCCCTTCATTTCATTCTTTTTGGAGGATAATTTTTTTTTTTGTTTTCATTATGAGTGATGTTCTCACAGCTTATACTAGTAAATAATTATAGTACTTTTTTAAATCTAGGGTCTCTTGGACACCTTGCACATTAGTGAAAAACAAAAGTACTAGGACTTGAGGGGCTGCTAAATTGAACAAGAAATTCAATTAAAAAAGAAAGTTATTGTCATTAGACAGGCTTAGAGTTGTTTTTAATAAATATAAAAATGACAGGAATTTTTTTTTCTTTTTTTAGACTTCAAGAATTTGACTCAATAAGGTTAATGGTGAATAAAAAGACAAAAAAATATCCCTGCCTCTGTGATATAGCCCCCTCCCCAGGAATTTTATTATTTTTTTTTTTTTTAGATTTGGGTATTTTATATTTATTGTAGAATGTGAAATAAATGCATTTTTTTTGTATTCCTGTCAATATACAAGGCAAATAAATATTGTTTTATTCATTTTTACTTTGTATATTTTTTTTCCCTTTCATTAGGACCAGATAAGGATCAACTTTAGTGCTGTTGTTTTATTTTCTCTTACTCTTATTAAAAGGACAGTCCCAAAGTTAAAATATCAAACTGTCCTTAAAAAACAAACTGAACCAAAAAGGAGAAGCCAGATAAGCATGAAGAAAATTTTTATTTTATTTACAAAAGCAATTTGGATTACAATTATATTTGAAATGCTGAGGGAAATCATTTCCTAATTGTGCAGAAACAAGAAAGCTGATGGATATTTGTCATTTTTACAACAATTTAAATACTGATTATATAATTTCCATACAAAAGACTGTTTGGTCAAATCCTCCTGGTCTCATTGGTCAATCTGTTGAAAGATGACCATAATGGTCACTTGGAGATTAGCTGGGGATGTTTGGAATGGTTGTTGTTTCAAAGTTACCATTAAATATCACTTTTTAAATACAGTGAGAAAAATGGTGTTAATAAAAAAGATTAAATATTTAATTATTGCTTTTCTTTGTGGGAAGGTTTTAAACTCGAGCAAAAATGTTGAAATTTAAGAGCTGCAGATTACCTCAGCACTAGTTTTACAGGGTTTATATATTTTTTTTTTTAACTTTTATAAGTTTTTGATAATTCATGCATCAATAAACATAGATCAGTTTATTTTTAAAGGAAGCAAAAATAATTTACAGGAAGGTCATTTTTTTTAAGATTTTTTTTTTTTTTTTGTCAAAAGCAACAATCAATAAATTAAGAAATTTAAAAAAACATTTGGCCAGTCTGATATCTGTACATTCCCAAGAGAGTTGGGTGGGGGGGATGTGTGCATAGCTTGAATAATATTTTCTTTGCGTTCTTTTAATGAGATTGGGCAATGTTGGAGAAATACTCAAGGACATCGTTCATGCTGAATTCAAGAGAAATCATGGAACCCGGGTAGCAATTGTTGATAAGACCATCATAATGTTTGTAGGCCCTAATGAAATCATCCTGCATTGTGTGCCACACCACCTAAATTAGGAACAAAAAAAAATGATGAAAGATTTACTGAGTAGGTGAATAATAGACAATTAGTCAAAATTTAGTCCCTACTTAAAAAAAAAAAAAGGAAATTTACTTTCTAAGGAACAAGGATAAATATAATAAATGACTTTGTGTCTTTAATACTAATTAAGCAACAAGAGGGATTTATAATTTTTACAATTATTTACAGCAATTGAATATTAATGAGTTTACAACTACCTAAATGTTCAAGAATTTTTTTTCACTTTCAAAATGTTAGTCTGTGATGTCAAGTGCACGGTCAATTCTTTAACATACCTGAAGTAAATTTTCTTCATCACAGAGCTGCTTTTCAACTTTTCGATACAAATGTTCCAACCCTTTCTTCACCTAAAGGAGGAGTGGGGGGATAATAAAAAAAAAAACAAACATAGAATCAGATTTGTTTAAGGAGAGAAAAATACAAAACGAAAAACTTTAACTGAGTCTTTATAAAAGAATTATTTTTCAAACCAGCGATGAATAAAGATGAGGATTAAAAAACACTCACCTCTTTGCCTGGATATTCTTTAATCACTTTACGCAATTCCTGTTTACTGAAAGCCAATTGGTATCCAACTTCTTCCATTTTCACTCCAGCTGCCACTCGACTCTCAACCCCTTCAAAAAAGGTCTGCAAAGCAAATAATGTATCTCAATATTAAACAGCAGAGATTTGTCTCCTCTTCAAATTCATGGTTGCCATAGCACGGAACAAATTCTTGAACTGACTTAGGTACACAGAAAATGTTTTGAATTCCCCCCACCCCCTGCCAAAGCCCAGCATTTCATTAATATTTTGAGCAAAGAGACTGATTATATCACCTAATGGCACAACACGAGTGTTTGTCCAGCAAAAATGAAGAGAGTTTAATGCTTTTTTATAGGGCCTCAACATAAAGTGATGTTCAGGATTGAAATAATCAATATAATTAAGAAGCATGACAATAATGAGATGTAGTAATCTACACATGCAAACTAGATATATTTGAAAATATAAATGTACGTATTTAGTCTTAAACTCACATGCAGTTTATCAAGTGGCCGTCCCAGCAGCATAGTAGTGTATGCGTGCAAACTGTCTTGGTATCTTTGCTTGAAATCTTTCCGCTCAGATTCCAAACAGGAAATCTTCATTTGGGACAAGATTGCTGAAATAATAAAAATAAAAATTTACAAATCTTGCTAAAAGATTCAAACCAAATTTTCTCAAAGTGATATCCAAGTAACAATTCAAATACAGTAAGACAATGATTAATGAGCTACAGTTTCTGGTGTGTGTGTGCATATATCTTACTTATTATAAAACGCAGATTGTGTGTGTGTCTGTAACGTTTATATATTGGATCGGATTCCCTACATTTTTCAACCGATTTCAACAAAACTTCACAGGACTACATAAAATTACCTTGTGGTGGTTCTAACAGGGCCAAAAATGGGAAAAATATAATTGTTTTTGTACAAAATCAATTTGAAAACACGATTAGAGACGTCGTGAAAATGGAAGGGGACAACTCACATCGGATTCCTATATTTTCAGCCGATAAAACAAAACTTCACTTTTGTTTTTTTGTTTTGCAGGTAGTGTTTCTTATTCTCTTGCACACTTTTTTCTTTATTTTTTAACATTCAGAATGCTTTAAAAATTCCATTTACAAGACAATTATTTATAATAAAATTCTATTCAATTGGGAGACTCATAACGATTGAAAACAATGTTTTTTGTTTGAGTTTGACCAATTTGTAAAAAATAAAAACTAATTAAGACATGTGTGTCCGTCAACCTTAAACAATAATCTAACGATCTATAATGATTGTGCGAATACAAACATCGGAATAAATTCTTTATCTTTAGGGAAAGATAATGAAATCTAAACATACACAAGTCCTAACTAAAAAATAATAACCGAACGGAAACTACTTTAAATACATATGGTGTCCAATTTTTACTGTATTCAATAAGTAAAAATCATAAATTGTAAAAAGATTATTATTACAGAAAGGCTACTAAATGAATAAGATTTGTTAGATCATAATTAATAAACCCAAATAAAGTTAATGTTTTTTGTATTAGAAACAACGAGTGGAAAATATATTCAAATCAGAATTCTAATTATGAATCACCACAAGCAAAATATGCAATTTTTTTTTACTGTATTCAATAAGTAAAAATCATAAATTGTAAAAACTAAAAGATTACAGAAAGGCTACCTACATTTTTCAACTGATTTCAACAAAAAACTTCACTTTTTTTTTTTGGCATGTAGTGTTTCTTATTGTCTTGCACACTTTTTTCTTTATTTTTACATTCAGAATGCTTTAAAAATTCCATTTACAAGACAATTGTTTATAAAATTATTCTATTCAATCGGGAGACTCATAACGATTGAAAACAATGTTTTTGTTTGAGTTTGGGTTTGACCAATTCGTAAAAAAAAAAAAAAAACTAATTAAGACATGCGTGTCTGTCAACCTTAAACAATAATCTTTGTCAATTTTATTTTTCAGTCTTTATGATGGTGGATACTTGATCTATCTCTTACTGTTATATCCCCGGGCAATGCCGGGCTCTACTGCTAGTATTTTATAAATTAATGGCAAATTCTGTTTGAAATCCCTTTAATTTGGGCCACACTTGCTCTAGATAGAGCTCTTTTTGGAATCAGGATGATTTCTTACTGATGTCATCAGTTCCTGGGTAGGTATTTATGCAGATGACACTACCATTTATTCCTGTCTTAATAGCAAATACATCAGAGCTGATAGAATTAACCTGGCTGCTGCTCTTGAAAAAGACCTCCAACCGGTGATTAACTGAGGTAAAAAATGGCCTGTAAATTTTAATGCCTCCAAAACTAAACTGCTTTCATTTACCCACTAGAGAAAATTTCATCAGCATGACTAATGATCGACTCCAGGAGAGCGTCTCACTGCGTCTTCTTGGCATCACATTTTCAACTGACTTCAAGTGGAACAACTACATTGAATCAATAGCTGCATTTGCTGCAAGGAAAGCTGGTATATTGTGTTGTGCTAGAAGGTTTTTCTCATCCAAGTCCTTTTTGCACATTTACAAATTTACTATTTGTCCGTGCATTGAATAGTTGCCATACCTGGTCTGATACCCCTGCTGTTCATTGTGAGGTTCTTGACAAAATCCAAAGAAGGATCTGCAATGCAATCAATCCAGACTTGGCATTTCAACTTCAGTCACTTTCTCACAGATGTGATGTGGCTTGACAGTAGAACTCTCTTCCACTTATTTGCTTTGCTGATAACTACAATCTTCAAAAATTTAAATGCAACATCTTCTGTTATCTTGAACCTTGTTCATCTTTTATCCTTTCCTCAATCCCCCCCCCATACCCAGTCTTTTCTCTCATTTTCACTCACCCCCTGAGTACTAGTGGCACTCCTGCCTTGATGTGGTGAAATGATAAGGAAAAAAAAAAAAAAAAAGATAATATTTTTGTTCATTGAGACACAATGATAGAAATCCCCTGGAAATTAGGAAACTGAAAATAACCATTAAAAATTTCTTAAGGACAGAAGAATCTATGGAATATGTGAAAACTAGTTGAATGTTGAAAAGATTTTTTTATTTTCATCATATTTTGCTACTTTATTTTAACGGTGATCATTTTCAAAAGACAATTTGTCTTGAAAATGCTCACATAAAGTAGGGAAACATTAATGCTAAAAGAAAAAGTTTTACAATGTCCAACTGGGTTTCACATTTGATTCTTACATAATCAGCCAGATCTGTACTGAGAAACATAAATATGCTTGGATTGGTTTAATATAGAACTACTGCTGATTTAGTCTTTTATAAGAGTAATTATGAATAGAAAAACAAACAAATGTTAAAAAAATGAATAATACATACAATGCATCCGATGGAAATTTTCTGAAAAAAACAAAGTGTAAGAGTGAAAGTGGCATATACCAAATGCATTAAAAATTCACTAATATAAGAAAAATTGATAAACTATCCAGATATATTTTTCTAATACAAACAAAAAACTTAAATCATTAAAGCCTTTTAATCTGCGAATTTTTTTTTTTTTTTTATGAAGAGCTTAAAATGTGTAGAAAAGTTAAGGCCAATCATTTGAAACAAGAATTTATTTTTTGTATAATACAAAAGTGGAATTAATAAGACTTGAACAATCCTACAACCAATTGATTGCAGAATCAAAATGTTTTATTAAGAGAGAGAAATACAAACTACAATTCATTATTATAGATAAAAACACAGGAAATACTGAATTTAGAAACAAGAAAGCCAACATTTTTAGAGCTTCATTTCAAATTGTCAACCTTTCAACAGATTCATATAATACAAGTAAAAATTACTTACCCATGGAAACAACATGTTCTGGTGTTTTTTGATGCTCCTTTGCTACCCGTACTATTTCGGTAGAAATGGTGTGCACTAGTCGACAATAAGCTTTATCCAAATCTGCACGTCGATCAGATCCTTTGAAGATTATTTCGGCTTGATTAGCAAAATCCTAATAACCAAAAAAAAAAATAAAATAAATAATTAGTCGGTCATCATGAAGAAGAATTATTTCAATGTTTTGCCTCGAAATGGTATTTTCTTGAAGATTTTTTAATTGATTCAGTTTTATCAAATCATGAATGTTATCTTAAATGTCTACTCTTCTAGATCTTTCTTGCATGAATAAAAGCATCTCTTAAAGCTCTATCCTTAGGTCTATGTTTTTCTTAATTTTCATCAATGACCTTCCTGATGTCATCAGTTTTCAACTCAGTTTCTATGCTAATGACTATGCTATTTACCTGTATCTTAATGTTTTTTTTTTTTAAATCGTAATCAAGTAGGGAAGCATATTGCTTGGTTTTTAATCAGATGCCACTAAAACACAAGGGGTTACAGGGTGGGAAGAATCAGGAACAGAAACATTAATGATGAGAAGAGAGTAATCAGGGGGACAGTAGATAGTAATTGACATTGCATTTAAATTTTTGCAGATTAAACTTGGCTGGAAAGGATAAAGCCAGAAGGGAGTTCCACAAGTGAGAAGTGCAAGAGAAGAAACTGTTAGTATTTGTCTATTTCTGAGATGAGGTATTATATACACTATTTACATTGTTTGGACTATCGTCCTCATCTTAGTTGCCATATTTATCACAATATTTCGGCCATTGTACGCTCCGGACTTCTTCAGGTGGTTGGAATGTCAAACTGAACCCTTTATTTCACTCACTGGAGTAGACTGTTCTAGTTCCACATGCCATGTTTAATGGATTAATTTCCCTCTTCAAGTTCTCCACTGCCTTAACTGGGTATTGAACTCACACTCTTTGGGTCCTGTCACTGGATCTAACTAACACCTTTATCCACTGTGTCCTTGAGGACACTAGCACTTTTAACAAAATTAATTGTCAAATTTAGTAAGTATGATTAGTCCAATAAGGTCAAATTGGCAGCTGATCTCAAAAATGACCTACAGTCTGTTGTTAACTGGGGCAAGGAATGACTTTTTTTTTAGAGGACGCAAAATTTTCAGTTCAGCATTGTTTGTTATCCACAATGCAAAATGAAGAAAGTTGAAAGAAATTTAGAATCTTACTTCAAAATGATGAACAAAACTGATGATGCCACATTTGTTCTTCTTTGATATTTTGCTCTCCTGTATAGCTGTTATTTGGTTTTGCTGCAAGTAAAAAAAAAAGTTTTTTCAATTACAACAGGAAGATCAATGGAAGATTCTAGAACATCTTTAAAAACAATTACACCCTGAATATTAGTTTCTTTGAAAAAAAAATCTTAACATTTTTCCTGCTTTTGAGGTTTGATAGTGTTTTACATAAACATATTAAGAATTCTTCTTTGGAATTTTTGTCATACTGACCCACCCCAGAAGCAACTGTGTAGGTTGGGGAAGGCTTTGTCTTAATGAATTCCACTTGATTTATTTCTGGTTCAAATTTTCCTAGTATTTTCTCCAAACTCATTTTATGGCTTCTAATTATTTTTTTCTTTCTTTCCTTTATCTCCCTGACGTTTAATTAGTTTCTCCACATTTTCTCAGTTTAATTTTAATTATTACCTACTTCAAATCATCATTAGGCATTCTCATGCATTAAAATGTTAAACCAGGATTACGACTCTGTTATATTCCTCATGCAGTAAGACGTTGAACAAGGGTTACTAGCTTGTTCTAAAAGACTTATCTATTAGTAGAAGAAATAAGTAATAAACTAAAATGTCAGGCTGTTTCTTCTCAAATACACATTTTATCCATCAGTTTTAAAGCAAAAACATTCAAGTTACCAAAACCAGAAGTAGAGAGAAACAGATAAGATTTGATTTAAAACCAAAGATAAAGTTTTGTTGAATGATCTTGACAAGACTGAAAATGAAGCTATTTGGTCAGTGTATAATTCTGAACAAAACAAAACAGACATAAGAAAAATTTTGTGTGGGCAAAATTTGAAACGATAATTCTTTTTGATTAATGGCCTTAGAGTTAAGCTACACCAAGCAGTTGAGAGGCATTGGTCAGAGAGTGGCTGAGGTGGCAGGTATAAATGTAATATGGAAGGAGGTGGAAGAATTGCCCGCACCCATTGGAAAGTGTTGGTGTGAGATGTCAATAAGAGGAGGAAGAAGTTATCAGGGCGGATCAATACCTAAAACTGTCACTCATGGGAGAATGGAATCTCCCAAATTGGGAATGTAATTAATTTTCAGACCCCAGACAGCAGAAAGAGGGTTCTTGTTGGAAGTTAAGGGAAATACCAAATTCCCCAACTGTGTCATGCCCCCATGCTGGTTTTAGATGAATGTCAATAAATACGAAGCAGACAGACAGAGAATTGTTCTGGACACCAGATGAGAATGACCTCACGTTACTATCTGCCTGAGAGAGCCTCAGGCATCAGCCTTGTGCCAAACTTCACCAAGCCAGCAAAAATGTCACATCTAACTTAAGAAATGGGTTGGGTCAATAACTGTCTGCATGCAAACTGCTAGATTTTAACAATGAAACTAACCAAGTATTGTACAAAGGAACATGTATAAAAACATTTATTTTTTTTATTCAAGTTATTACATTTTCTTGCATCTTTATTCCATTTGGACCAGCCCAATACAAAGATACCCAATGACGATTTGATCCTTGCTGGCTTTATGGTCAAAACTAATGACAATGTGGGATAGGGCAAGGCCTAGATCGAATCAATCATTTCATTGATCAGCTGTAGGTGTTGGACATTTGGATGCCTGGGAGGGACTTGAAGGTGACATTAACAATATTTTCATACTGTGATGATAATGTTCAGAAAATAGTAAAAACACATTGAAATGAAACACATTTCTGGTTTTAAAGATTTTCAATTTCAGAAACATTAATTACATACACAGATTTCATATTCAATAAACTTGCTTCCATCAATGTATACTTACAATGAATCGATCAAAGTTGCGTTTGATTTTCACCAAACAGTTGGCAAATGTCATGCTGAGGAAGGAGCCTGTGTCTTGTGTGTTTATCACATGTTGGCTCATACGCACCAACATATACATTGAATTACTGAAAAAAAAAAAAACAAACAAAAAAACAGTAGAATTAAGACAGCTTAAAAACATTATCATTTATTGGAGAACTCTTTACAGGATAGCTTAGCTAGTGTGAATTTTTTTCAAGACATTTACAGAAGCATGAATTTTCACTAGCTCACAATTAAAAATTGTTTATAAACCAAAATGTATTTTAGTTTACAATATTCATCGGCTCTGAATAAATTAAAAGACATTTCTAAAACTAGATTCGGTCTTGACATAGCATTAGCATTGATGAGAAAAAAGACTTTGATTTTTAATCAACTAGTCTGATTTTGATTAAAATCTTGCAATGAGTTTGTCAGATTTTATAAATATTACATACTTATTTTATCTCTGTCTGAATTTCTGGGATGAGGAGTAATCATAATTTACACTATTTGCATTCAGACTATTGTCTTTGTTGTTGTTACAGCTTTCAACAGGTCTATATCCTGGCTCAATGTAGGTTATACAAATGGATAAACACCTGATGAAGGTTGGAGGGCACAATGGCTGAAACATGATAGCAACAACAAAGATGAGGACAATAGTCCCAATGCAAATAGTGTAAATAAAATTATTTAGACAAAACATTTGAGAAATAATAATTAGAAGGTTTACGGCCTGATCACATCGAAACAGAATACAATTACTGAAGTTAAGCAATATTGAACCTGATCAGAATCTAGATAGGTAACTGCTTGGTAAAACCAAGTGCTGTAATCTTGGATGTGCGGGTGGTGTAATGAATAATAGTTCGGAATTGTTAATCAATGAGCTGAATTCCAATTCCAGTTGGGTTCATTATATCCACTTTCGGGCAACTAACATTGGAAAAGGTATGAATCCACCTCTTCTCCCCCAGATATGGGTTAATTAGTAAGACTTGTATCACTAAATCATTATCTCAAAAAAATATTTTCTGGACTTAAACAACCTGCAAAGGGTTCATAAGCTGTATAAAATGAATCAACAATAAAAGTATTTTTTTTACATTTAAAACAAATGAGCATCATTGTTCTGAGTAAAGAGGAAAAAAAAATTTTTTAGATTTCTAAAACTGAAGCCTGGCTGTCTAGTCTTTGAGCAAATCTTTTCTACTTTATTCCTACTGTGGTTAGGTATCTGTGAAATTCCCAACAGTCAAATAATATTAGCTTTTAAAAAGGGAAAACATTTCACAACAAATTTCGAAGTAATCATGCATGTCAACTACATTAAATAATAAAGTCAAATAAGGTCTCATGAAAGCTGGCTTTTGAAAATAATTTTATTTAACTTTCACGTTAACCAGAAAATATTTAAAACTTTGGCACAAAACAAAAAAGGAAAGATAACAAGACTAAAATGGTTGGAATATCAAAGACTAAATTGAGAAAAACAGAAACCTCACCATCCATCCAGTTTGTCTGCAAAAGCAATGAAGTTTTCTAACTCAGTTTCCAAGTTGGGGAACAGTTCTGTCATCATACGCCTGAAAGAAAAAAGAATCATTAGCCATAATTTGGAGAAATAGGAAATATTATGGTGGATTGAGGTTGACTTTTATAAAAGACTATATCAAATTATGCATGAGAGAGAGAGAGAGAACAGAAATATCATTGAAACAAATTCTCTTAAGAATAATGACAAAACGAAACCAAAATCTAAGTGCCATATAGGGAAATCTAAGGAAAACAGTGATGATTATGACTATATCAATACAATTAAAATTACTATTGTATGTGTGTATTCAGTTTTTCCCATTACAAAAAAAGTGCTGGGGACTTTTGCACACACCTAATATCATTTTTCATCTATTTTAAAAAAAGACTAACTTTGTTCAGGCTTCTTGAAACCTGTCACACATTTAACATGGAGAGATTTCAGAGTGGAAATCTTTTAACTGTGGTTGTCTCACTAAAATGGCATCATTTTGTAGTGAAGATGACCTTCCACCTTTTGAAGCATGTAACAAATCTCCCTCACCCATGAGAAATTTCCCCTATGTTATATTTCAAATCAAAAGGATAATTATTTGACTGACCTTAGCCAGTTGAGTTTGTCCTTTAGGGGCTGAGAACACACATTATTCATGTCAGTCCATGAGCAAGAATAGTTGGGGAGCATTGTGGATGAATGGGTTGTTTTTTCCACAAGTTTCAAGTGTGAGGCAGCCAAGGCAACTTTGGAATGGCATAAATTAGGGGCCGTCTCAGCAGACTGGGTTAGTCAACTTGAAGGTATTTCTAACCATTTGCAAGTTTATGCCTTGTTTTTATAAAAAAAATTCACTAAATTGTGCAGATTTGGTTGTGTTGCATGTGCTTGGTATATACCCTTATTGGAATGGCTGTCTGATGGATATACTGGGCTTCGTATATTTGTACTCTAACAAGGCTTTGTTGGCATGCTGGTCTCTCACTCAGTAATAAAGTTTGAAGTTTAATTTATTTTCTCTTGAAAACACTTGATTAGAGAACAGTTCAATTTAGAATGGATTTCTGTTCAAGATAATAAAATTAAAAAAAAAAAATGAACAAAGACACTTTGAGGTGAGGATGGACAAATCTCATCATCATGGCCTCTAAGAATAAATCATCTCAGAGGTCTTCTTCATAGTTGAATATGACTTCATGTAAAACTAATAAGAAACAATTATCCAGTTATTTTCTTTCATATACTTTCTTTATTGTCAGTTAACCTATGACTACAAAAACTATCCTAACTTAAATAAAAATTTAAATAATGATTTAAATAAATTGTTCACTTACATGCTAACAATATGTCAGAACACAAATGTTATTATATTTGGTAATTTAATTAACTTCAAATCTTGTGAATAAATAATTCAACAACATTTACAGAAAATGTTTCTCACCTCATTTCTTCATTCATCTGTCTCCTAATGAAAGGAAAAAAAAATGAATATCTTGCCAGTTTTCAAATCAAAAGCACAAATATTAATACAGATTTTAGGAAAAATATTCAGAGGTTTTTCCAAAACAAAAAATAATCCATATTTATTTTTTAAAGTGAAAATTAAAAACAAAAAAAAAAAAAAAAAAAAAAAAACAGTTAACTTATGATATATTTTAAAGTTTCAACATATCAGCAATTAAAAATTAAATTTGGGAATGTAACTTATTTAAAAATAAATATATGAAGGCAAATTGTTTCTGCAGAATTTTGCAAATTAAAAAAAGTTAGCCATTAATAATTTCAAAATATATTCAGGTTTTATTCAAAGCTGTTTTAACATAAAATTGTTTTTGCATAAAATGAAAAAAAAATGCTTCTCATGAGAAATTATGAGCAATATTTCTGTACTTAAATTTTCTTACAAAATTATTTGAAAACAAGTTATTTCTTTGAGAAATAATTAAAAAAAAACATTTGCAAAAGATAACAATTAGCTGTGCAAGTTAGAAAAACAAATAATATTCAGTTTTAACTGAAAATCATGCCATTAAAAAAATAATATATTTCTGATACTTGCAATAAAAGTCAGATTTAAAAAAAAAAACTCAAGAAATAGTTAAATAATAATAATATTTTAAGCACAAGCCATGATATACAAATACTGACTCAGATAATTTCATTATCAATTATTTTATGTTAGATTTTTTTTAAGAAACATTGGCAGAGTTTATTAGTCAAGTTTTCTGTTTCTTAATATCATGTCAGCAAATATGGAAGCCATGTTTTAACAGCCAAACACATTCATTGGTTATTATCTTTATCATGGATTATTCTCTGACATTTAAGTCAGTCTGCATGATTAGACATACTACATTTAGATTCTTGATGAATATTTTCATAGCAAGTACACACAAAATTAAGTTATACACAATTGATCTCAGAGAAATTACCAAAGTAAAGCAGAAAGCAATCTGTATTAATAATAAAGAAGTATTTTTTAAAAAAAGGACTCAAAGTTATAAAGTTTGGAACTGTCAGAAGCACTCGGTATTACATTTATTTGAAGAAACATGTCAAAATGCAAAATTCTTTTTAATAAAGAACTAACATGGATGGAATAATTATGAAAATTAGATAAAAATTGAGGAAAGTAAAACTAAACAAGATTTAGAAACTTTTTAGGATACTTTTTGAATAGTTTCAAATTTTATGTGATTCTAACAGTTCAAGAAATAAATGTTAAAATTGAAAAATTTGTATTCTGAAATTCAATAACATTAATGAGTATATAGTAAATGTTGATTTCAAATTAAAAAAAATATGGTGAGCAAGAGAAAAATGCATCAAGAGGTAGGAGCTGTAATAAAAAAACTGGAATAGGTTCAACAAAAATAGGTTTGGAGAAATAAAGGTCAAAGGAGGAATCAAAATAGCAGAGCAATTTTGGTCAAAACAACCTTAAAAAAAAAACAAATGAAGAAATAAAGGAAATATGAAAATATTTACAAATTTTTGCATAATAGAAGGTTTAAAAACTACCACTGACCAGATTTTATTTAAATGTTTATTTAAGTGTAAAGCTGTATTTTCAGATTTGGAGATTTAATCAAAATCAGAAAGATCCCAAAAGATAATCAATGCATTTTAAGAAGATATTACTTTAATAAAATTATTCTAACAATTTTATTGTTATTCATCTCATTGCAATGATTTTCATAAAGAAATTCTTAAACATTCCTAATAATTTTATCAAGTTTTATCTAAAAGATTAACATTTCTTCAGAGGTATAAATTATATAATATACACAACATCCTTTTGAAGAAAGTATTTATCAAATGATAATTAAAATAGTTATGTAAAATATAATGTGTGCATGTGTGTGTAATGAAACCCTGAAGATTAAATATATATAAAGTTAGTTGTCTGTCTCGGGGTGTGTATGTTGCACATGCAAATATTGCATAAATGTTACCAGCATGTGTCTTATATCTTACCCAACTTATGGAGATGACTAATTTGCATATCCAGCTTTCAAAATAATAATTTAAAAATAACTGTTTTCTTATTGATTTTCAATCTTTTTTTGTAACCTTTATATAGCAACTGTTTTGTTGAAAGTCTTTTTTTATGATTAAGCTGCATAATTATTCAAATGAAGCCTTTTTCTGCTCTGAAATGGTTGATCACAGTTTGGGAGTAAAGGAAAGTAAGTAATAGTGACACTTTTAAAAATATATTTTTAAAATCTAACAAATATTATAAATTATCTTATAACAGTATATATGAAATAAATGACTATTAAAATGATTGAATCTACTAAATTGCCTTAATTTTGACAATTTTTTTAACTTTTTAAAGATCTTATTTTCTCAAACAAAACAACAACTGGGTAGGGCAGTAGATCAAAAAGTGCCAGCTCTTATTGTTACTTCTAGATATACATAATTACTAAAATCTGTTTTTTACTTATCTTTTATAAAGCAAAACACTAAATGATTGCAATATTATGTTATTTATACTTTAATTCAATAAAGTGACATGTTTTTTTTTCTGATTAGTTATTGCCAACTTAATGCATTTTTTTTTTAGAATAAAGAAATTCCAAACAAGAGCTGAGAGTTTATGTTCTTGTGAACTGTATGGCCAAAAAGTAAAACACAATAGTTGGAAAAGAAAAAAGTGTTTGTTTTCATCCTGAAAATAATTAAAAAAGAACAAAAATGTAAGGTTAAATTACAACAAACAGAATGTTAGAATGAAAAATGACACAGAAACAAAGGAAAAAGCACTGAATTCAATGGACATATTTAGTGAAATTATCTTTATATATATTTTAAACATATGCACCGAATGTAGTTAACATACACACACACACACACACACTATATATATATATATATATATACACACACACACACACACACACATATACACACTGTACTCATTTTTGATGCATGAGAGTCAAGCATCTGAGTTCTTAGAACCAACAGCCAGTCTACCCACATATATCATTTGATTATATTGGTAAAGACTTGTGTAGAACCAAGCATACTTTTTAGAAGAGCTGAATACAGAAAACTGGTGCACACTATGCCACAAGGTTCCCAAACAACCCTCTGCAGGTTTTGAATTCAGTTTTCCTTCTAGACTGGATGCCACTCAAGGCTACAGGACCCAGACTGTCCTGCTATTCAACCCATAGTTGGAGGGAGAAGAGGTGGATTCATACCTTTCACAAGAGTATTTGCACATAAGTGAATGTAATAAATTCAACTGGAATTCAAACTCAGCCCTCAATCTGAGCCACTATCCATTACTCCCTTGTGCCTCTCTCTCTCTCTCTATATATATATATATATATATATATATACCCTTGTGGAAATTAATTGAAACAAAATGACTAATTCTATTATTATTTACTTTTTTCGTATTTTTCCAATGAAACATGATCCAGTGCACATGTTAGTACTTCATATGTCCATTCCATTGGATTTAAATCAGGAGAGTTTCTGGTCCAATCTATAGTATTTTGATTTACTCAATAGCAGGGCCTGCCAGTGTATTCATGCAGCGTTACAATTTTTGTACGCTTCCTCGGAGTAATGTCCACCACAGACAATGGCCATAGGACAACTAATTGACAGTTCAGACAATAGTGTCTGAGTGTGATAAAAATCTGATGCAATCACGGATGACCCAATATTCTTCAAGGCCAAACAAATCTCATCATACAACCCAAATATAGATTCATATTACTGCAGCTGTTGTTTCAATTAATTTGCACAAGGATATATATATATATATATATATATATATATATATACACAGAATCTATCAGGAATTGAGAGATTATTAAAATATTTATCAAATGTAACATAAGAATCAAAATTACCAGTTCATTTATTGTTTCAAATGTTATAATTACTTATGTTTGTGCCTTAGCACTAAACAATGATGGCATGTTTTCTTCCTATTTGAATGATTAAAACAAAAAGTGAAGAAGAACTAAGAGAAGAGGAATTATAAGGCAATTAACTGATCACTGATTTGTCACATGGAAATGTAAATGAAAAGCATGAGAGAGAGAGAGAAATGTCATTTTAGACAAAGTACTTTAGACAATAGGTACAAACATTCAATATACAGGATAAAAAAAGCCAAAATAACACACATATATAATAACATGTAACAACATACTGACAAAAAGAAAGCAATACACAAAACAGAGACAAGGAGAAAGTTAAAAAAAAGAAAAGAAAAAAAACATTTTTAAATATGGAGATAAAATGATAAATCAAAAATAATAAGTTTTTTCTAAGCTGATGGATTTCAATTTAGCATTTAAAAATAAAAAGCATATGAAAGTTCTTCATTTTAATAATAAAAAAGAAAAACCATTCCAATCTGAAACAATGCTTTTCAAAATTCTCTAAACTTATTTTGATAACAAACTAGACTTTTCATTCACTTCAATACAATCTTTTTCTAATAAACATTTCTAGGCAAATTAAAACCTGTTACTTGTAAGATAATGTATTATCACTATTTATTGTAAATATATGCAGAGATATTTTAGCTTGGTGGTTTTTCTTGATAGCACAGCCATCTTTTGATATAGAAATTCATAAACTGTTAAGTAGTATCATTCACTAATGAAAATGTTGTATGGAGAACATGTAAAAGACTTGATGTCCATTAGTTAATTGTTAACTAAAATGATATCAACTTTGAATGAAAGTACAAAGTGGACATCATAAATAAGAAACTTAAAGATTTACTTTACCAGTGAGATATCAAGAATTTCAATTATCATCTTATATGATAAAAGTTTTATCAAATACACTGGTTGAACTCAATAACTTTGGTTAATAATTAAAAATATATTTCTTGATTCCAAAGACAAAAATTGAAATAAATTTGTTTTCATGTACAAGTAAAATGACTTCCTGTAATGTCAATCAAATGGAAATCATTGTCTCAAT